AGTCCTTCTTCAGCTGGGAGAGGGAGGGCGGGCGGTGAGGGGGGGATCGCGGAAGTGGGGGGTTGGGAGAGGCTGGAGAGGAGTTTCCGTAAAGAAGACCGAGCGTGGCCGCTGAGAATGGGCACGGAACGGGCATCTAGGCTGAGAGAGGCTGGGAAAGAGGCGATGCCACGGGAGGAGCAGGTGCGACGGGGGCAGGGGAAGCGGGGACACAGGCCGGACGGGGAGACCTGGGGTCATGCTGGATCCCCTTTCCCTCAGACGGAGACCGGTTCCACTCACTCCTTCACACAGAGAACACTTATCCGTTCGTTCCGGAAACACTAGTTAGTGCCAACTGTGAGCCGGGCAGGAGCTCGGCCTTGGGGGTGCATAGGGGCTGTGTCGAGACAGGAAAGGTTCCTGCCCTCAGAGCAGCTTACAGTCTGTGGGGGCAGACAGACCACAGACGACTCATAAAGGTGCAGGCCTGGCCAGCTCAACTCCAAGCCCGCCCCTGCTCCGGTCCTCCTGCCCCTCCTGCCCCTTTCCATCCAGCCTCCGTCATTCCTACCCAACAGCCTCCCGCCTGTGCTCCTGCTCCTGCCCAGCACCCACGCCCGTCACCACCCACGGACCGGCCAGAGCACCGGTGCAAAACGACAAGCAGGTCACGTGCCTTCTGCCCAGAACCTCTGCCGGCCTCCGAAACCCAGAGGGAGCCCGTGTTATTTTCCACGGCCCCCATGCGCTGTGTGATCGGGGCCTGCTCTCCACCGACCCCACAGCCACTGCCTCGCTGCCTTACACACCGAGCGTGTTCTGACCCCAGGGCCTTTGCACCTGCCGCACACCCTGCCTGGATGGCTGCTCTGATCCTCACGCGGCCGACCTGTCCTGTGGCCTCTGGAGAGGCTTTTCCGATTGCCCTCGCTGCCCCTGACCTGACTTCCTTCTTCACTCAGATGCCCGTCCCATGTCCATTCTCAGCGGACATCACTTCCGGGCTCTGCCTCCCTGTGCCCTGCTGACCGCCTCGCCCGACGTCAGTGTTATTTTCCACGGCCCCATGCGCTGTGCGATCGGGGCCTGCTCTCCACCCGACCCCGCAGCCACTGCCTCGCTGCCTTACACACCCAGCTTGTTCCGGCCCCAGGGCCTTTGCACCTGCCGCGCACCCTGCCTGGATGTCTGCTCTGATCCTCACGCGGCTGACCTGTCCTGTGGCCTCTGGAGAGGCTTTTCCGATTGCCCTCGCTGCCCCTGACCTGACTTCCTTCTTCACTCAGATGCCCGTCCCATGTCCATTCTCAGCGGACATCACTTCCGGGCTCTGCCTCCCTGTGCCCTGCTGACCGCCTCGCCCGACGTGACGTGGCCGGCCCAACATGGAAGGCAGGCTCGGGGAGAAGAGAAACCTCATCGGGCTTTCCCACTGCGGCCTCGAGGCTGGGGGGACAGTCACCTTGAGCCAGTTGTGTGATCTCTTGGCGATCTCGTAGGTGGCATCGACGTCCAGGGTTTTCACCATCAGCCCCTCGAGGGGCACTGAGCAGGCGATTTCATTAACAAGGACTTGCAGGGGGGAGACCTGAGGCTGCAGTGTGAGGCAGGGGGTTCAGGAAAAGGCTCCTGAGCTCAGACAGGGTGAAGTGTAGGACTTGAAGTCAACGTCCCGGTCGGGAAAGATCTCCGGGTCCAGGGCTCAGCGGGAAGTCTGGGGGGGCTTAGGGGGAAGGCTGGGGGGTCCAGGGCTCAGCGGGAAGGCTGGGGGAGGT